GACACAACATTAATGAATCGCTCAACCTGGAATTGATATCAATCTCTAAATGAGGTCATTTTTGCAGTGTCGATGTCTATTTCAGAGCTACTTGACCGTGTACAGGAGAGGGCGAAGTAAGGAAACCAACTATGTTACAATGAAATGCGTTATTACAATGAAATGCGTTCCTTTGAAATTAGGAAACTTCTTTCATCAAGAACAAACCAATTTCTGGTAGATTGATCAGTGGACAGAGAAAATTTATTATTCAGCCTCACTGTTCGTATGAAGAACAAACTCCTAAAGAAGTATACCTTGCTACTACTAATACTACAATTCCAACCACTACTGCCCTTATCCACACTCTCACAACCAATTTTCCAAGTTCAAGTTAAATGGAGAGAGGGAATTTTTGACATATGCAAACACCAAGTAGTCTTTCTAGCTTTTTCAATAAATAAGTCGAATGTATCCAGATTCTTTGGAACTTACTTATTAATTTTATTCTCAATTGACATGTGTCTGTAAGAAGTTCCAGTGCTTCAATAGGAGTCATGTTTAAAATATTCTCGTTTAATCTGCTTTCCCTTTTAAATGTATTGATGCTGTATCAATGGTCAGCCCAGCTCCTCAAATTGCAATACCTTTTTACCTTTTCTTAGTCTCGAATTCCTCCATGATTGGAATTTCTTTTTCGAGATCGAAATGGGAAATTCACTGAATCGCACTTTGATCTTGATTACACCTTCAGAATGTAATAGGAGTTCTGGAAATTCTGAAGCAATTTTAATGCAGAAATCTATACATGTTTCCCTCGTACGCTCAATCATCTATTCATTCGTTCTAAGATCTGATACCTATTAAATATCAGTGTTGATTCATGCTCCAGAATTCGTAGCTTGAAAACTGTCAAAGTTATTTGCAGGAATAGGGAAAATACAATACATTAAAAAATTCATACTTTCACTTGGAACATAATTTGATCTAGAAGAGCAATACACAACTCCTGGGGAGTAAGATTCCCCTTTACAAAATCCAAAAACATTATCACACTTTGAACATTTAGCTGCATCGAATAGAACAAAGTTAAAATTTCCACAATGTGAGAGTTCTTTCACTATCGTCCTCAAGAGCTTCTGCTTCAAAAACTACTTATAGTTCTATTGTTGATATCAAGTTGGTTAGATTGCGGTAGCAGCTACCGTTGTTCTTCTAGTAAAGAACGTCTAAATCTGTAATCTTTGTATTTGTATAAAGCTTAAAATTTACCAATTATTTTAGATTTTCCTAAACGCTTTTGGTACAATTTAGAAAGAAAATGTACCAAACACAATTTTCACTTTACATCCCTGACATTTTCACATGCATACATACACACATTGATTAATTTAATACCACGGCTTGTTATGAAGGTGTCTGTGTGAATGTTGTTAGCTTTAAAAAAAGATTTTCGTAAAAGTGAAAGGGGGATGAAATGAATTGAATAATGTCCTTTAAAAACAGCACAATAAGTTCAAGCAAACATGTGATAACAGGTGTTTACGAAATAAACATACAAAGAGGATTGTGAAAAACGATATCCAACACAATGACATTTTCAAAAATAAAACTCACAAACAAATTAACAAAAGAAAACAAGTAAAAAAATCTAAAATGGAGACAACGCATTCAAACGGAAAAGGAAATGAGTATTTAATGGAGAAAGAGAGATTTTAGTGTAATTTGAAGCAACAATTGAGAGGTATAGAGAGTAATACAAGGCAATTTGAATAAAGATGCCAGATTTTTTAATGAATGAGAGTTGTTTGCAAAAACAAAGTTTGAAACACCAGTTTTGTATAGAAAAGTGTTCAAATCAATAGTTTTCTAGAGAAAAGTGTTCTAGTCAACAGTTTTCTATAGAAAAGTGTTCGAATCAACAGTTTTCTATAGAAAAGTGTTCGAGACAACAGTTTTCTATAGAAAAGTGTTCGAGACAACAGTTTTCTATAGAAAAGTGTTCGAGACAACAGTTTTCTATAGAAAAGTGTTCGAGACAACAGTTTTCTATAGAAAAGTGTTCGAGACAACAGTTTTCTATAGAAAAGTGTTCGAGACAACAGTTTTCTATAGAAAAGTGTTCGAGACAACAGTTTTCTATAGAAAAGTGTTCGAGACAACAGTTTTCTATAGAAAAGTGTTCGAGACAACAGTTTTCTATAGAAAAGTGTTCGAGACAACAGTTTTCTATAGAAAAGTGTTCGAGACAACAGTTTTCTATAGAAAAGTGTTCGAGACAACTGTTTTCTATAGAAAAGTGTTCGAGACAACTGTTTTCTATAGAAAAGTGTTCGAGACAACTGTTTTCTATAGAAAAGTGTTCGAGACAACTGTTTTCTATAGAAAAGTGTTCGAGACAACTGTTTTCTATAGAAAAGTGTTCGAGACAACTGTTTTCTATAGAAAAGTGTTCGAGACAACTGTTTTCTATAGAAAAGTGTTCGAGACAACAGTTTTCTATAGAAAAGTGTTCGAGACAACAGTTTTCTATAGAAAAGTGTTCGAATCAACAGTTTTCTATAGAAAAGTGTTCGAATCAACAGTTTTCTATAGAAAAGTGTTCGAATCAACAGTTTTCTATAGAAAAGTGTTCGAATCAACAGTTTTCTATAGAAAAGTGTTCGAATCAACAGTTTTCTATAGAAAAGTGTTCGAGTCAAAAGTTTTCTATAGAAAAGTGTTCGTGTCAACAATTCTGTATAGAAAAGTATTTGAGATAACAGTTTTCTATGGAAAAGTGTTCGAGGCAACTGCTTTCTATAGAAAGGTGTTCCAGACAACAGTTTTCTATAGAAAAGTGTTCGGAGACAACAGTTTTCTATAGAAAAGTGTTTGAGTCAACAGTTTTCTATAGAAAAGTGTTTGAGTCAACAGTTTTCTATAGAAAAGTGTTTGAGTCAACAGTTTTCTATAGAAAAGTGTTTGAGTCAACAGTTTTCTATAGAAAAGTGTTTGAGTCAACAGTTTTCTATAGAAAAGTGTTCGAGACAACAGTTTTCTATAGAAAAGTGTTTGAGTCAACAGTTTTCCATAGAAAAGTGTTTGAGTCAACAGTTTTCTATAGAAAAGTGTTCGAGTCAACAGTTTTCCGTAGAAAGGTGTTCGAGACAACAGTTTTCTATAGAAAAGTGTTCGAGACAACAGTTTTCTATAGAAAAGTGTTCGAGACAACAGTTTTCTATAAAAAAGTGTTCGAGACAACAGTTTTCTATAGAAAAGTGTTCGAGACAACAGTTTTCTATAGAAAAGTGTTCGAGACAACAGTTTTCTATAGAAAAGTGTTCGAGACAACAGTTTTCTATAGAAAAGTATTCGAGACAACAGTTTTCTATAGAAAAGTGTTCGAGACAACAGTTTTCTATAGAAAAGTGTTCGAGACAACAGTTTTCTATAGAAAAGTATTCGAGACAACAGTTTTCTATAGAAAAGTGTTCGAGACAACAGTTTTCTATAGAAAAGTGTTCGAGACAACTGTTTTCTATAGAAAAGTGTTCGAGACAACAGTTTTCCATAGAAAAGTGTTCGAGACAACAGTTTTCTATAGAAAAGTGTTCGAGACAACAGTTTTCTATAGAAAAGTGTTCGAGACAACAGTTTTCTATAGAAAAGTGTTTGAGACAACAGTTTTCTATAGAAAAGTGTTCGAGACAACAGTTTTCTATAGAAAAGTGTTCGAGACAACAGTTTTCTATAGAAAAGTGTTCGAGACAACAGTTTTCTATAGAAAAGTTTTCGTGTCAACAGTTTTCTATAGAAAAGTTTTCGTGTCAACAGTTTTCTATAGAAAAGTTTTTGGGACAACAGTTTTCTATAGAAAAGTTTTTGGGACAACAGTTTCCGGTAATATTTTCTATAGAACTATGTTTCTGTTAACAGTTTCTTTAGAAAAGTGTTTGAGTTTACAGTTTTCTATAGAAAAGTGTTTGAGTTAACAGTTTTCTATAGAAATGTGTTTGAGTTAACAGTTTTCTACAGAAAATTGTTTGAGTTAACAGTTTTCTATAGGAAGTGATGATATATATATATAGAAAACTGTTAGAATTAACAATTTTCTATAGGAAATTGTTTGAGCTAACAGTTTTCTATTGCAAAGTGCTTGAGCTAACAGTTTCTATAGAAAACTGTTTGAGTTAACAGTTTTCTATATAAAAGTGTATAAGTAAACAGTTTTCTATATAAAGGTGTTTAAGCTAACAGTTTTCAATTGAAAAGTTCTCCAGTTAAAAGATTTCTATAGAAAAATATTTGAATTAACAGTTTTCAATAGAATAGTGTTTGAGTTAACAGTTTTCTATAGTAAAGTGTTTGAGTTAAGCGTTTTTTTTATAGAAAAGTGTTTGAGTTAAGAGTTTTCTATAGAAAAGTGTTCGTCAGAGAGTTCCACATAACAGATTTCTATGGAAAAGCGTTTGAGTGAACTGTTTTCTATAGAAAAGTGCTTCAGTTGTCTGTTTTCTATAGAATGTCTGTTTTCTATAGAATAGTATTTTCTATAGAATAGTATTTGATTTGTTTAAGAAAACATTTTTCCATAGAAATATGTATGAGTTTATAGTTTTCTGTAGAAGAGTGTTTGAGTTAACAGTTTTCTATAGAAAAGGGTTTGAGTTAACAGTTTTCTATAGAAAGGTATTTGAGTTATCAGTTTTCTATAGAAAAGCGTATGAGTTAACAATTTTCTATAGAAAAGTGTTGAGGAGAACTTTAGTCCTTAACATAATCATCTGGTAACTTTAAAATTAATTGTATTACATAAATAAAGTACTAAAACTAGAGGAGAGTTAAATTAAATAACAGGAGAAAGCGAGAGATTGAGAAATAGAGTAAAGTAGAGATTAGAAGAGCTTTTGCGCAGAAATAAAATAAAGTTTTCCAGAGAATAAGGAAGAGGATATAACGAACCTGTAATGCTTGTGTGTGTGTTGTGTCCTTAACCATACAACATTGAACAAGAGACGAACAAACCAGTAAAGAAATCAACGAAGAAGGATACACACTCCGTATACAAAAACGCACATGTAACACACAGTATTAACCTTTCGCCTTTAGCGAAAAAACACCAACGCAACAAAACATACTTTACTCCCAAATCTCAAAAGCGAAATCGTGTTGAAGAATTTCATACTTTACTCACTTATGTGCTCGTGTGAGCAACGTTTAAAGGAAACGTATTTAATAAATTTAAAGGCTGAAAGGAGAGTATATATTTTTTGGGATTTTTTTTCACACTAAAACCAAAAAAAAGGATATTAAGAAGAAAAATTTTTTGAAGTTATACACACGGAAAATTGCAACCATTCAGTTTTTTCACTTGTAAAAAGACAAACGTGGATTTAACATAGAATTGAAATTAAACGGAATTTGGTGAAAATTTTTAAACATAATATAAAAAAAAATAATAATGTTAATGAAAAAGAATATAAAAAAAGAAAGTTATAGGAAATAATAAAACGAAATTAGAGTTCAATTTAATGAAAATTATAACAAATATTTTGCTAAAACTAAAATAAAAGCAAAATGAAAATTCTAATGTGTGTGTATAAGAATTAATTTAAAAAGAAAATTAAAAAAAAGTTAAATTAATAATTAAATATATATATTAAAGAAAATTATATTATAAATTAAAATTGAAAAAAAGTTTGGAATTTTTAAAAAGCTTTAAAATTTTTTCATATTTAAAGAAAAAAAATGTCTAAACTGTTGAATATTGAAATATATTTTTTGTGTATGTGTGTGTATAGTATAATGTAAATTTCTACTTCTTGTTTTTTTTTTCTTGTCTGACTTTACAAATATAAAATCAATTTTCTTATATATAGAAAACTTCCAAAAAATAGTTAAGAACCAAGAAAACCAAGTTTTCCCAAGATTGTTAAAGTTTAAGCAACAAGAAACAAAAGATTAAATAAATTATAATATAAAAATAAAAGTAAAGAGAATTAATAAACAAGATAATCTACATCAAACGAAACCAACAAAAACCGTGGAAAATTAAAAATTCTTCAAAATGAAACCTTCAGAATTGCTGTTACTTTTGGAAAGGGTAATTAATAGAATATATAAATACCTACATACATATGTATGTATGTATGTATGTACATACACATAAATAGAATAGATGAAGAAGAACCTTTTCCCTATACAATATTTTTTTAAATATTTAACAATGAGCAAAAAAAAAAAAAGAAACACACAAAACTTTCTCTCTTAAACTTATTTAGCCCCATTCGTTCGTTGTGTTTTAAATAAACTTGATAAACCTGATACCTTTTCTCTGCAAGTGAGTGTGTATTGTCTGTGTGTGCGTTTCCCCTTCCGTTATCCCTGGCCTTTCTCATTGCCACTCGCTCATTTTATGTTACGATGATAACTTTGTGTTATTTTTTTCTTTTAAATTTTGTCTTCTTTTCAGTTTTATTTTAAAAATATTTCATTAAAGACAAACCGACAGACAGACAGACGGACGGACAGACAGACTTGCATGTGTATACCACAAATACAAGACAGCAAAAAAAAAAAAAACAACAACAAAATTGTAATGTGGGCCAATGTTTAAAAATTCATACAAACAATTATGCGAGGGTAATGTGATAAATAACTTCACTTTTTCTTATTAACATCGTTTGTTGTCATTGTTGCTTTTATTGTTATTGTCTGGCTCCTGCTTGTTTAGCAATTTTGTCACTTAACTCTTTCTCCCTAGTTCTGAAGGTTCTTTTCGTGTTCAAGGTTAAGAGGAGGAGTTATAATTGAAGGTTTAAATATGCCAAGATTAATATATAATATTACAGCTAACTTGTCTATATTAATTAATTTGTTTAATTTTTAAATTTCTGTGTTATTGCTCTCAAAAAAACAAAGGACACTAATAAGCTACTAAAAAGCAACAGAAAACAACTGTATAATTATTAGCAATTTAGTTTTAACCTTCAAAATTGTTTAAGTAAATTTTTATGGATAATATCGAGCACACAAAAGTGTTTGTCATTGAAATAAATGAAAAAAAACTTTAGAAATTAGCACTTAACATAAAAAAATGAAATTTATTTAAAATAAGTGTCATTACAAGGATTTTAATATGAAAAGAAAAAAAAAAAAAGAAACAACAAAATTTAATAAGCAAAGCATTATAGAAGTGTAAAACAAATATATATAAGACATTAGGAAGGGCCCAAAATAATGTTCTCAAAGAAAATTTAAATTTCAAACATTTTAAGATAAAATTTCTCAAAAAGTCTAGGGTCAATATTTGGTGATCTGGTTTAAAGGAAAAAAGTTTTTCTTTTTTGAGATTTTTCCAATTTTTTCACATTTCACTCAAAGGAATGTTATGAAATTTTGATATCATGTAAATGGTCTCTGAAAGGAGCTTTTAATGACGTATCATTAGTGCCAAATATTGTAAATGGCATCTTATATTGTCCCAGAGTCATCTCTTAGCAACTTTGGCGTAAGATGGCAGCCCTTTTCCTTTTCCACTCGTCCAGATTCTTTTTCCTCTAGGGGCTTCTTTAACTTCGAGATAATATATGGTTTCGACTGCAGATTTGAAGACGGGGAGTTCTTTTTCTTCATAGGTTTCAATCAGTTGTTAACTCTTCGGTAGACCTGATCCTCTTTGCCTCAGATATTGAGAGAATGTCGAAGTGCCTTACGTGAACACCTGCCGTATTGGCCTAATATTACGCTGGTCTTTTCAACCACTGGCTGAACTTTTGTAACAAATTGTATTTCAGTGGCCACAAAGACCTACTGTTTTAAGTTCAGCATGTTTAGCATGAAGAAAAATCGCCGACAAATTTAAGATTAAGCTCCACAACGTCTCAACCAATTTCACCAACATTTCAACCGTCACTCCTTCTGTCATTCCGACATCTCTACAGAAACAACTCAGGATCCCTTTCGTCCGTCAGATACAAGTATCCGAATGGAACATCTCCCTCCATCACATACCCAATCTTTGCATTATCACATCAATAGCAACATTTTAATAATCCACAGCCTTACCCTGTAGTTTGTACCGCTCCTAGTTTCTAACAGAAACTTATCCCGAAAATTCATATTTCATCGTGTATCAATCTTTTAACCAAGCACCCCCTTCTCGCGAATTTGGGTTTAAACTACATCCACTACGTAGCCCTGTAGTGAAATGTCATGATGAATTTATAGTACCGGCAGACTGGTAGCACCTGTTTACCCCGGGATTGCAATACACCAAGATGAGGGTCTTTCATCAAGGAAACATGCCCCGGATTGGAGATATTGAGAGAGTATCCGATTTTTCCTTTGCAGTGTTGTGAGATTGACTCAGCATCTCCATAAACTTTCCCCTCTGTGCTCCAGTAATAGTAATAGCCATGCTATCATTCACCTCTTTCACCATATGCTCCATTTCAACTTTTTTGGGATTCGCTTTGAAGGTCTTGATGTTATTATCATCTGAGGATTCAAAGTCGAAATCCTCATCTATATTTAAAGGTTGAGGCAACACATCCTTCTCTTTGACTCCCCTTTGTTTTTGCCAATGACATGCTGTACACTTGACGCATTGTTTGCCATGGAAGCCTTTTGTATTAATATTCTTATTACCCATATTTGTCCTTTTCAAGTTTTTTTTTTGTCCGCGGAAAATACAATATACCCACTAATGTGTCCTTTTTGTGATCCTTTTCATGGAAAATTTTAGATGAAAAATCTTATTTAGAGATCTATAAAAGAAATTATACTTAGTTCAATATTTAGAAACTGAGTTTCCTGGACGTTATTCCTAAGAATTCTACAATCGTCAATGACTGTTCTAATGACTGTCCTGTCCATTATACAGTTCTACAGTTCCATTAATTAATTGCCTTCTGGCTGTAGAAAAATAAATGAAGCTTTTTTAGCGCTATATTGAATTCAATCAATGCTACCAAGGAATATTTATTCCTATGTTGTCTCCCAACTCAGAGCCGTTCGTGTAACAATGGATTCCCTAAGGGTTTTTTTGCATGACCGAGGTGGTATTATTCTATACTTTTTGTCCAAAGAAGTAAATTAGATTTGGATCAATTACGCTGTCAAAAAGCTAGAGTGTCCATGTTGGGTCCATTTCGCTGAGTTGACATTCATCACTCTCGGTTGAGCTTAGTTTAAAGACTCCTGCATAACAGGCTGATCTAAACACTTTTCGGTTAAAGTCCATGGAAGTTATTAATACTTGATATCCAGAATTATGGCGACAAAATACCGCTATTTGATATACCGCGTAATATTAACGGAACTCCAGGTCAATTTAGAAACTGGTTTAAGGATTGAATAATACTGTTACTTTGTGAAAACCTTTTAATAAATTTGCAGTTTTGTACAACGTTTGGAAATTTCTTATGTTTCGTTCGTATAAATTGTACTTATCATCCAACCCAATTAATTGTCCCTAAGCCCTTATTTAGTATTCCCCGAGGATATGCCAAAGCTAGAAGTAACTATTAAGTGAAATCTAAATTTGTTCGCCATTGGGGAGCCATACCAGGCCTCACACTAACAAATCGTAAAAGGAATCTCAGAGTACCATTAAAGCTCTCTAGGCAAAAATGTTACGAATGTATGCTGATTCTGTGGCATTTAAGGGGAAACCCAACAGCTAAGATTTTTGACGCTTCCTTACTTACCCCAAAAGATCGGGGGTGTTATTGCAATATCCCGGGAGTATATGCAATACCTCAAGTCTGCCTTGACTATAAACTGGTGATGATAAAATGTATCCTCGCCTTTCCTTGGAATGATTTGACATGGGGTCGAACCAGAGCACCAGATAATCTAGTAGTACGAGTGAACAGTTGCCTGGCTGGTTAGTTGGTTGAGGTTCCTTAGAGATCCACGCAGTAGCTGTGGTTAATACCCAAATTCGCGGGGAGAGAATGATGGTTTAATGACTGATATATCCTATGCCATATACGAATAGATTTTCTCTCCGGTGCTGGTGTCATCTCAATTATGCTGGATGTGTCATAGCAAATTATGCTGGATTCCTGAACCCATTGAGTATCTTATACTCTCCGCATAGAAGAGCGCCAGTACAGGTTGGGGAATTTCTCGACATACAGAGGGATCCTGAGTTATTGGCTTGGTATTTCGGACTAACAAATACGTGCTGTTGTCGAAGCAACAGGGCCTTGTGCGACTGAGGGACGAGAAATCTGCCTAAATGGATCGTTAAAGGATGGGGACGCTACGGCGTCGCTCATGATAATGCTTATACCTGATGGTCCATCTCGGTGTTACATCTAGATTATGGATTTATCGGGTGGCTCTGATGGGGTTTCATAACCCCTCTTTTCTAACCCGACCAGCACTTCTCCGCCTGTCGAGGTAGTATTCTTGCTACCCATCATACTGCAACGTGATCGCTTGGCAAGAGATTAGATAGCTCGAGAACTTCAGCAAAGTGTTTGTGCATGGATCGGCACAGCCATGTACAAAAATTGCCACCTGAGTGTTCCTCATTGAAGTAACTCGGGGGCACGTGGTAGACCGTTCTCAACTCTAGGCAGGTGTCGCTTGGCAAGAGATTAGATAGCTGGAGAACTTCAGCAAAGTGTTTGTACATGGATCGGCACAGCCATGTACAAAAATTGCCACCTGAGTGTTCCTCATTGAAATAACTCGGGGGCACGTGGTAAACCGTTCTCAACTCTAGGCAGGTGTTCACGTTAAGAACATTCTTACCAAAAAAGACAAATTCAATGTCTCACCAATTAAATCAGTTACCTTTATGCGTGAACTGATATTATTATGGTGAACCAACGGGCTTCATAAAAGATACACACTTGGGTCTCAGTGCTTTGTACGCCTTCAATCTAATCTAACCAAAGCACTAGGAATCCTAACCGACGTAGGATTGAAGAAAATCCTCCGTTCCAACTAAAACTTCATAAAGGAAGATGGTAACTTCCAACACAATGATTAAAGATGAGTTTCCAAGCAGTCACTTATTCTACAGAATTGCAAAATAATAAAGCTTCACATCTCCTTACAAAAAGAAATTTGCTATAATATTTTTCA